GTAATATTTGTATTAAAAATTAATGTGTAATATATTCCCCTTAACTGAAAACACAGAGGTGCCTAAAAGCAGGCTAACGCTTTTTTCTCACATTAGCCAAAGTGTGTTGTTCTTCACAGTAAATTTTCCATTTTAATGTAACCCCTACACAACCAGCTCTGCAACTATACAAACAGTTGTAGTTCAGAAACCTTTCTGATGTTTTCTCTAACCTCATGTTAGGATAATCCCAATGACAACATCTTTATCATACTTTAGAAAGCTCCTCCAGAGAGACACACATTTACACAGCGTAGTGCCATTTTAACATTCACAATGAGAAAAAAAAACTATTTTATTAAAACAAAAATAGAATGATGGAGGCTTTAACTGGACAGTTGTGAAAAGCTGTTATTCATATTATCCATAAAATCAAAATGAAGTATGGATGATGTGATTTTCAGGTGAATTTCATTTAGCTTTTATTAAGGCCACACCAAAAGGCTGAACTCCATTCTGCTTAATGGTAACTTTATGTCTTTAGAAGCTTGTTGGTACAGCCGTCCACAGCATTCACGGTTTCTCGTGTGGCACCTTGGGGAAATCAACTGGGCACTTCTGGTCTTGAGGTTCAAAGAGTAAAGAACATGCATACAATTTCGATAGTTAAGATAAACTGTCACTGCTGCACGCAACTAAATTCTGTGGATGGTCCAACAATTAGCTGAAATGCACATGTTTATAGAATGAGGAAAGGATTTTCCACTGTCTACAGCAAAGCTTTCAGCTTGTATTTATGACATTGAAACATCAGCTAATCCAGATCACACTCACAACAAAGAAAGCCAACATCTCAGTAATTAGAATAAACGAAGTAAAGGGTAGCCCGTTACATTTAAAGGATATTCTTTTTCTTTCATAAATATTCATAAATATTTCACAGATCTACAGTCGGTCCAGCAAGAATCACTGCATCTGGATGGCTCAGCCCCGGTGGAAAACATGTATGTGGATAAGAAAGCAGTGGACAAACTCACAGAGGGATTCCTCACTCACTACCTACCAGATCTGCAGAACTCTAAGAGAGCCCTCCAGGAGCTCACGTGAGTATTGACGTGTGTCATTGTTTCAGGACGCACTCTTGGGCTTGACATCATGTTAGGGTTCACACATTTGCCTAAAAAATCATAATCAATTACCAAATCAAGCATTCGGAGGTACTTGCTTTGGCAACCCCTTGTGAATAAGAGAGAAGCAGAAAGTAGCTTCAGTCAGCAGCAGGTTCCCTCCATTTCGCTCCGTTTACTGCAGTTTCACCAGTTTTCGGCATGTTCTTGTCCAGCCTGCTTCAGTGGGGGAACTGTAAATACACAAGAACATTCCAGATCAGGATCTGGTAATCAAATAACATGTCAGGGCAAGTCTGTGCCAAAGGCTGCAATCAAGGATGAGATTACTCCTGCTGTTGCAATTGTTCTAAGTCCAGTCAGGTAAATGCACACATTGGTGGATCTGAATAAGGCCCAAGAGTTTTTTGCTTGTCAGTAATCACTGAACTATTTGCATTAATAAGAAGCACCCATGAACCTGGAGTAGAGACTAAAAAGCTGTTTAGAGAATCTGGTTTTTGTAATTTCGAGTTGCCTTTTGCACAGACAACTCCCTAAAACACACAGGCGCTAACTACAGTAAACACACTACAGTTGGTTTGACCAGTTCCTCTGATGCTGCCAGTGAGATCATGTGTCATGAAAAACAAACACAAGCTTGTGGACACTTTTAAAAGGGATGTTTTTCATCTATATAATCACTTTATTTTCTTGTTTTTCAGACAAAATCAGCTTGTGCTGTTGGACACACTGGACCAAGAAGTCACAAAGTTCAGAGAATGTAATGCCTTATTGGACCTCAATTCCCTGGTATGTGTGAACTGAATTCTAATCTAATTTGTTGTTGTTGTTGTTGTTTGTGCACTCTACATCAGCCTACAGGAGTGATTTGTAAGCAAAGCCCTTTTCCTTAGTTTACAGAGGCGAAGGCGTACCACAATAAACTGGTGAACATAAGGAAAGAGATGATTATGCTCCATGAAAAGACAACTAAACTAAAGGTACTATTATCTTAGACGGCACTGGAGGCCGTGCTCTTAAGAGGAGGGCAAAATACTGAATGGAGGCAAATTAATCAAAGTCCTGCATGTTGTGTCCTCTCAGAAAAGAGCTTTGAAGCTGCAGCAACAAAAGCAGAAGGAGGCGCTGGAGAAGGAGCAGCAGCGGGAGAAGGAACTGGAGAGAGAAAGGCAGCTCAACGCCAAACCTGCTAAAAGAACGTAGGATCCCCAAGTGCGTCTGCTGTATTAAAAGACAATATGGGGCAAGGGGGCGGAGGTTTGCATGTTTTAGTCTATTTATTACATTTCTTATTCATTATAAAGCACGTTACTGCTAGCCATTTTCCAAAGTGCACAACTTTAAAATTATAAGATCAAATGAAATGGGGAAATATTATATGAACATCAACTTGAAACGTGCTTGATACATGTAATCCATGACAGTTAATATCAAATTCTACTTTAAATTATTGTTAAATGTTACTGCAGAGCTCACTGATATAAATTTCTTTGAAATATTAACTGCGTTTGAAGCATGATTGTTTTAAACGTACGTTGTTCCTGTTGCAGGCAGGTTTGTGTGGCACAGACAGAGTTTACCACCTGTTATCTTAATGGCTGTTTCTGCAGTCGTTATACGCTGAGATTGGCTTCAAAGACGTTTTTGGTTTCTAGGAGTAACAGGAATGGTTGTAAAATGACTAGAATAACTGGAACTTGCTTGAGTTTTGGAGTTGCGACTCTCTGGGACTTGTTTCTTCATTTCTATGGCAGCACCCACCATCTTTAGATCCATTTCATAAGGAAACAAATTTGGAACAAGATGTAATTTTTCTATGTGACTAATATGAATTGAAAGAAGTGGAAAAAAAACGTAAAGAAAAAAATCTGTTTAACCGTCTTGAAACCGAAAGATGCTTTGGAAAATGTTTCTCTTATTAAGTAATTCTTAGTACATGGACTAAAACTTGCAAAACCTCTGGTTTGATTGACCCCAGATTACATTGCCAAGAAGACCACAAACCAAAGACATTAACCAATATCATCAAATGCTGGTACTTCCCACTATCAGTGTCTGATGGCACACCAATTTGTGCACTTCTTCAAACAGAATTGTTGAAAATTACTCACGTAGCCATCAGACCACAGCCTGGGATAATCACTGCGCTTGGTGTCATTTGTTGAAGTATTAATATGTTGTTCCTGGACCCTCTTAGTGTTGAATGTTATAAAACAAGACATGCTGTTTAAAGCCACATAGGTCTGCACTAAATTTGACTGACTGCATTTCTGCCGTTCAGATGATGTATAGCTAATTTATGATGGTGGATGAATAAAAATGTATCAAACTTTGCCATCACAATGATCAGTGTCTGTAAATTTGTTTAGTTGACCTTTTGAGAGGCTTCTATGCACTAGTTGTTCCTGAAACCTCAGTATTTGTACTATTAATAAAAAAACAGACTGGTTTATAGTATACGGTCTTATTGCTGTGTTCTTTTGTATTCTTTACTTCTCAGCTGTCTATGTGTGGAAAAATTTAGGGTGAACAGGGGCCCGTTCTTCGTACCTCGCTAAGTAAGTTAGCTGGATT